TTAGTGGTCAAATAGATTTCTACTGGTTTCTTTTCTTTAAGGGATCTCGGATCTTAGAAAAAGTTATAACTTGATGCGATTTTGTTGCTAAATTTTGTCTGTGAATAGCAAAAAAATAGATCAACAGCTTATAATAAACAACTGGTAAATGATACTCCTATGATATTACTATGATGAAAATGTCAGTAATCATGAAGTTCACATGTTTCTCAGCTTAGCCAGTCTTTGACTAAGATCATCTTGATCGGCAGAAGCCACACTTGCGTCACCAATGCTCGCTGTCTCTTCTCTTGGTAGCTCCATTTTCAATTCGATGCTAAAAATGAGAAGAAAAAGAAACAGAGTTTGATTAATTAACAATGAAATGATATTTCTATCGATAAAGGATCGCTTTACTTACCCTGCTTCTTCTGCAACTTGTTTCATTAAGTGATCAACATCATTTTGTGGCACTGAAAGTGTAGTAGTTGAGCTCATTGTATCTTCCATAACAGACGATTGTACATCAAGATCCTCAAACTGTTTTTCAAATTTATCCATAACAGAAGATATCTTTTCTAAATTCATACTCTTCATTGCCGCATCCATGGCTTTAACAACTCCAGTCATACTCTGAGTAACCTTTCTGGTAGTTAAAGCAGTTTGTACACGACTGGCCACAGCATCAATTCGAGCACTCATTCTCAAGTAATTGAGTGATTGATTTTTTTGCCTTATAGCATTCTCTGCATGAATCTTGGCAGCTTCGTAATTATTTTTCGTAATAGCCATCTTACACTTCTCCTTCTCCTTCTTCTCCTCTTTTTCACATTTCTTAGAATTCCTTAGAAGATCCTTGGACGCAAATTTGAGATTGAATAGATGCTCTTCAAAAAAATAAAGGAAAATTAGAGTTTAGTTTAATCATAGTGCTTAACCAATAGACTTGATTGACAAAATAAACGTTAAAAATGGGAGAAACCAAGATTTTTCTATTGAAAATCAACATAGATAGATATAAACAACTTACTTTCCATCGTTGCTACAGACATGGCTGGGTCACAATTTTAATAGCTACTATTATCTTTTCTTAAGGGACACAGATTAACCAAAAGCTGGACACAAACAAATAGAAATCTAGATTAATTATTAATTTGTGATAAAGAGAATGACTAATAATCAGTTTCAGCAACCAACTGACATCGCATCAATAAACAGTGAGGTGGAGTTACTGGTGGTATTGTTTACATGCCAACCAATATCAATTCAACTGATCCAAAATAATCTCTGGTCTTGTTTTAATTTATTTTGAGTAAACTGAGTTATTAATTTTAAAATTACTGTTAATAATTCTGTAGTTTTTTCTAGTAATTATGGCTATCACCTTGTATAATCTCTATGAATCTATTTTATTAGTTATAAATGCCGTAGCGATCCTTCATGAAGAAAGATTTCTTAACAAAAGTAAGTTTCTTTGATTGCTTATGTTATCTTTATTTGAACTAATCTCTCTCTAAAACTCAATAATCTGTGTATTTTCATAGTCAATAATTTCGAATGATAAGAGTCCTCAATACTGAAATCATCTTCGTTTTCCTTTTTTGTTTACAATTCATTCATTTACTTATTGGTTTAATTTTTTCCAGTTGGCTGGGGGAGAAATCAAAACAACCCTATGAATTTCAATCAGCCTTATGGTGTGCCTCCACCGCAACCAGGAGTTAAGGCCAACATTTTAAACCTAATACATTCAATTAGAACGGTCATGAGAGGTCCGTATGCAGTAAATTAAGACGAAACTTAGTTCTAATTTTGATCTTCTTTTCATTTCAGTACCGCTGATATTTCTAAATGTTGTCACCATTTTGTTCAAACTTCTTGTTGGTTAAAAGCTGCTGAACTGCCCTATGCTGAATATTAAAAAGTTTTGGAAAGATTTAATTTGTAATACATTTCTCAATTAAATTTCCTCTAGAAAATTTTAAATACTCATGACATGATGTTGATTTGTTCCATTTGTTTTCATTTCACCGTTAAAATTTATTGAAAAAGAGCAAAACTAGAAATTAATTACGAAGACTTTTTATTTAAATTAAACCAAAAGAACTGCATTTATACAACCATCATTTTCTGGATGATTAGTCACTTGAGCATATTTACCCCAAATAACTCTACCAGATTGTGTAACTAAACCAAGTTCTGATACATTTACTTCGATAATAGTTCCTTTAGTTATAACTCCTAAGCTAGTGAACATCTGAGAGCTAGGATTCTTTTTAACGCCTATTATTGGAAGATGGAAAGTTGTCTTTAATTCAGGATGAGTAACGTGAGCCTTTTTAAATCTCAGTCCCATAGGTCTTATAAAGCGTTCAAATTTCGGAGGTTTACGTGTGAACCCTTCACCAACATAACAAACTTTAGTAACCATTCTTTTCCAGGCCTTCTTTTTCCTTTTTCCCGTCTTGATAACTTTGAAGACTTCAGCATCTGACTGTGCTTTAACTTTAGGTAATGGCACTTCCCATTTACCGGCCTTTTCTTTTCTTTTTTGTTTAATCATGTTAGAAAGAACTTTGGCTCTGCTTTGACCTTCTCTGTCCAATAAATAGGCAGGTACGGCACCTTCTTTAACCTCTTCTTCGGCCTTCTTTTTAGACTTCTTCATTTCATGCATCCTCATTGTCTTCTTCATTTGGATTTTCTCCTTGAATCGTTCCCTGTTAAACATCTTGGCTTTCAATTTCCTTAAAGTCTTAGCTTTGTGCGAGATTTCTCGATGGGCCCGAGCCTCCTTTTTACGTTTACGTTCTTCATAATCAAGACGACGTCCATAGCGCTTCCTATGGAGCTCGATGTGGTTGTTTTGTGGCATGTTGTTTTATCTGAAAAAAGATACCAGAAAAGAAAGAGTTATTACGCACTTAAAAATTGATGTTTAAAGACACACGTTTGACAGGACGTGTTAGGACCAAAATAAACTTACATTAATTCACAATTTAATTTAAAACAACAAATTAACCAAAAAGAACAATTAACTAAAAATTGATAAGGTTTGGGTTAGTAAATAACCCACGTTTAATTTTTGAATCGCCTTTTGGGGACCATTGAAACATTGCAGCGTTTCTTTTAAAGAGCGCAGCTTGAACGAGAAAAGGCAAAAAACTTGTTTTGCTGTATTGTTACAATGATTAATAAAATTTACTGGAATTAAATAAACTCGGAAGACGATGTTCATTATCCATGTGATATTGTTGAAGAAGAATAATTATTAAAATGAACAAGGTGAATGAAAAAATCAAAACAATTAATTGCATAGTAATGAAAGACACATGAGAGATGAAAGGTGAACAAGTTTGATTTCCATTGTGAACTTTATTCAGAATGCCAGATTCTCCAGATTCGTGATCGGATTTAAAGGAAGACATTTTCTAAGCTATTCTGAATAAACTAATCCAGTGTATTCAAAAAATATTAGTTAGGATTTCAAAGAATTGAAATGGAGTAGAAAAAAGTTGCTTTGAGCTTTTATAGCAATTTACTCGTTTCAATAGATTGATACTTTAATTCTGAACAATGCTTGAACGAACAATTGAAATCTGAATTGAAGTGTATAAAAGAATTGATAAGTTGATTAAATTTTATTTCAACCATAGATTCAAATTTCGTCAAGGTTGGCTCAAGTTTCATACTCACAATTGTTTAACAAATGACACTTCAATACTTTGATTTTTTAATGACATGTAACTCATCAGTTTAAATATCATTGTATAAATTATTATCCAAAGGATTTGACTTTTGGTATTTGAAATGCTTAAATAGATGCACCAATACTCAGATGAATCAAATAACTAATCGATCGAAGATGGAATAAAATGAATTTTATGGTAAATTTTGATTGTGATTTAATATTGAGATGAAGATTAATCTTAAACAAGTCATTTAAAAAAATAAGATAAGATTTTCCAGAGTTGATAAAATTTAGGAAACGATGATAAAAATCAATACCCTGCCAGCATCCCAGATTTGTATGGCAAAAGGGAATCAACTAAGTCAATATGTTGTATGATTTATAAATGAAATCACTTTTGAATAAGTAAAATAAATAAAACTATAGGAGAAAACATTTTAAAATTGAAATATCTTCCAGATTTTTTAAGATGAGTCTTCAATTTTTCGCCAAATAACATTGCATAACCCTTTAACAATAGCTTTATGTTGATCAGTAATCACTTCATTGTTAATTTCAGCATTTGTACTTGGATTTTCTCTATTTTCCACTGCATTGATGCTTTTCGAGCCTTCTCCAGAACCAAGATCTTCATGTATTTGCAAAGCTTTCATTGCAACCACCAAAGGTTGTGGGCAAACAGGTGCTGCAGATTGATCAGAGCCATCCTTAGTAATCGCTTTAGTGTTTTCATACGTTTCGTTAGTTGAACGAGAATTTTCGTTGCTTTTTGTCCTTTCATTTTCCAGCTGTTTTATTCGCCCTTCCAGTGATCTTATGTATTCCAATATCTGCTGACTCAGAATAACTTTATGCTGAGGTTGAACACTATTTTCATGATTACTGTAGTTATTGCTGTTGTTTTTGGCAGTTTTTGATTTCACTAAATAAAAGAAAAACGAAGTTAATTTACTAATTTACAAAAAGCCCAGTTACAGATTTGATTTCCTAGGCATCAGTGAAATACTTTTGATAATTTGTAAAAGATTGAAAACTTACGAGCTAACGATGGATTGATACTTGTTACTCCATTCGTATTGGAATTAACGATTGAAGAATTATGAGGTATTAAAGAACCATCTGGACCTTCCCGTGAAGATAAAGCATTATCTAAAAGCAGGCACAATTGTTTCAATTCAAAGTTTTCTCGGACCAATTCAAACTGTTTTCCTTCTAACTGAGTTAGTTTATTAGAATAGTTTGTCACTTCATGCCGCATAACTCTGGACATATGTGTTCCAAAAGATTGCCATTCTCGTGCAATTGATCTACACCGAGACCTTTCGTCTTCAAGGAAACAGGCCAGTTCACGTAGCTCATTGTTCTCAGATATTAAATGATAATTTTGTTGCTTGAGCTGTTGCAATGTGGACAAATGATGGTTTATATCTTTAGTCATTGCGCCATTATCATAAAGAAGTTTTCTGTTTTTAGCTTCTAGACTTCTAATTCGAGAAATTAAGTCGTCCAATGTTAACTGTCCCAACAATTCATCATCAGGTGTTGGTGGAGGAGGAGTTGTTACCGACGAAGTTACTGGACTCCAAACATCAGCTCTTTGAGCATAAACAGTTCCGTGAGGATTTGAGCTTCCTGAATATAGAGAAGTTGGTTTACCCAGTAGAAGATTCTTGTATTGAGCTTCAACTGGTTGGGGTTGTTTCTGTTGATGTTGCTGGTGAGATGAAGATCCTGATGCTAACGGAGGTAAAGGAGGTGGTGGGGGTTGGCCACTTGAATGGCTAGCCTCATCTCCATGTATATTGGACACAGAAGAGTTAGACATTTAGGCAACCATAGAATATCTGTAAAGATCTAAACAAAGTTAATTTTAATAGAAAAATAAACAATCAAGTAAAGTTGAATTAAAAAAGCGCGACTTAGTTGTCATTTTTTACACACAAGTTAATGGACAACAAACTTCCTCAAATATCATAACAAAAGTGGATAAAAATCATTTACTTACATTAACATTCGAAATTAGGATACTCAATGTATCTAGAAAAACTAATTTCTAAATTTTAGTTGAGAATCAGTCAATTAACATAACTTTAGATTTATTTTGAAAAGTCAAAGGCCAAAGTTACAAAAATTTGGCCCAGAAAGTTGTTTTCACAGGAGTAACAATTCAAACACAAATTTTATCTAATTTCTGGAACACTTTACGAGTAAGCCTTTACCGCCTATTCAAAACCAAGTCTTCAATAATAAATTAATATTATACGAAGATTATAATTTTTAAATATTTGTTGAGATAAGATGAAATTTAGGGTGAAAGAAGCTGAAAATTATTCTGAAAAAAAATAGTGACATCTTTGAAAATAAAAGTTCAAATTAGGCATGAAAGAGGGCGCTAAGTAACCAGTAAACAATAAACGAGTCAATAATTTATTTAATTTTTATTGATATTTCTAGCTAATTATTACTATATTTAGATCGACTTAGATTTCAACTTATGAGTGAACATTCAATCAGGTGCCCTGTTAATGACCATCTCGGAATCTTGGATTAGTACGATTCAATATCCACAAATAATCCTTTCAGGTAAACCTAGTGTAACTTGTCAATGCAAAATCATCTTCCTATCAGCCTAGCACCGCTATTATAAACATTAGTTTTTATCAACTAATAGCTAACAAACTAATTACCTAGAAAATCTCGATTCAATGACATAGAAAATATTTGTGCCCTTAACATGGACTGTAAGTATTCAACAAAAAATCCTCTACTCTCCTCGAAACTTCAATGTATTCCCATTAAGGCACCAATCAATCATTGTTCAATTTTAGGAATACAATGTAAAAATAATGACAATTTATATCTAAAAGTAGGTAATATTTTGAAAATAGCCAACTATGGATTGATACGTCATTGACAGTAATTTTCAAGTTTACCATTATATTTACCGTTTAACAAAGCGTGTTGATCCTCAGTTTCCTTGAAAATAATTTTACACATTTGTTTGTACGGAAATAAAATTCAGACGATTATTTATAAATAAATAAATAAATAATCACCACCTAATTTGATTATTTGACTCAAACACCCTGTTTACTGTTAATTAGACATGCTAACTAATTTGAATTGGTATGAAAGGTTACAAAGGAAACATTTAAACTGAATGTTGCATGTTTGTACATTTTGTCGTACTTTTTGGACGAGTCAATTGATGACAATTGTTTATGAGCAAGGTAATCAAATTGAGAAGAACTCCTATGAACCAAACAATAGGATTATTCATCTCATACAAGCACTTGTCAACCTTTTATTTACAACCAACAAACAGTCCAAATGCAATAACAAATGATTAATGTCTTCTATTTTAAAACAAGACATAATTGCGATAATTAAACTCCATTAACCCTTAATAATCACTCTCAACTTAATCATTTGTCATCACAGAGTTGAAAAAATTGGATTCTAAACATTGCCATTTACAATGTAAACTTTACACTGCTTCAAACAAATCTGACAAAGCAATTTGTTGGTGTTGACTTAAATCGTTCAATTCTGGAACTGATTTGATTTTTTCATTTCTGGATACAGATTTTGTTAGGCTGATAACCTTGATTGCCAATGAGACTATCAAGATGGAAACAGCAAAAGGGTTGAATTAACCTGCAGTGTGAATAACTTTTATCACCTTTTAAACGGTTATGCAAATATAACAAGAGCAAAGTGGAATCGCGCTTGTATCCAAGACCAATAACCATTGAATAGCCTTCAAGTTGAACAAACAATCGGCTGGTCAATGAAAAATCATGCAAGAAATTTATGGTCATAATTGTGACCAACAATGATTGAAGGGAAATTTCATGCTCCATAAGTGGTCACCATAATGATCAGAAAACATTGTCATTTTTTACTTGTTTTTTGTTCTTCGGGAAATTGCGAGAAGGAAAAGTGAAAACAAATTAAAATGAGTGAATTAAGGTAATAATAAGGTTTTTATTGTTGACCCATCATGATGAACGTCATGTTACTCTGACTATAACTAGATAAACAACTCTATTGAAATCAAGTTTGAAAGCCTTCAAGGGCAATCCTCTTTACGAGATGTAAGATGTTCAAGTTTAGTGTTAATAATATCGAGTGTATGCGACGGTAAATAATAAATAGCAATTTTTGAGGGAGTAAAGAATAAGGTGCAAACAATTTAAGGTGGAGAGATAGTTGAACAATTTTCAGAAATATATAAAGGTAAGAAAAATTCTGAGAAACGTCAATTAGATTTACTTGATTTAAACTGTTCAGTTCCAAGATTGTCTTTTTTTCAATTTCCCTCTCACTCGTCTATTGGTTGAAATATGGAGTCTAAGCTTTTTGTGTTAGCTTTATTTTTTTGCGTCTCATTTGCTTTTGTTTCAGGTAATTGATTAATTCACCATTCATTTGGAATATTTTTTATCTTAATTTTATTTCATCATTTAATGAAATGATTTACTCAACCTTTTTTTGCCTGTATTTCACAACTAACAGCTCAAAGAAGCAAAAATTGCGATCAAACTTTGATCGAAGCTGACAAGTGTTTGAAAAGACTTCTTTATGTTGGAGACTGGAATCTTACAATCATCAGAAATGAAGCTGATCTCGTTGCTCACTGTCGGTAAGTTTTATTCATTTAATTATCAGTCTTTCGATTATTAATTTATTATTAATTTTGTCTTACAGGGATACAAAGAAGGATATGGCTTGTATCAAAAGGTATCAAAAATGCTTGAACAGCTTCCCTCGAGAAGTCTTTAATTTGATGTCTCGAAATGCTCGTCAACTCAACAAGGAGAGATGTGAAGATGCCAAAGGAAAAGCCGGTAAGTTTCATTAGCATACTAGATTATTTAAATCATCATCTTGAAATTTTAAGATTTATGTTTCACTGTTACAATTAAGCGTCTCTTGAGCTATTTTATATTTTTTTCTGATAAAATCATCTTTTTTTATCTCTTAGAATTCTTGAAGCACATTAAATGTTTGGACAATTCAACAATCAGTGTTAATATGTGCATGGACAAAGTAATCGTCCTTCTTGATTATATTGCAAATAATATTAAAGGTGATCGTGATGCTATGCTTGGTTCAACATGCTGTGCTGTCCACTTGGGTTTAAGCTGTTTCACTGAGAAGGTTAATGAAAACTGTGCTAAGAAAACTGGTCCAGAAACCTCTGTCTATGTAACCGCTAAAGTTAATCAGATGGTCGCTGATGTATTTGACTTAGCTTGTGCTAAAGTGCCCGATGTTGCCTCATGTGATAAATCTAATCCTGAATTGATGAAAACTTACCGCAGTATAATCGCTCCATCCGCAAACATTAAACGTCAACAAATTTCACCATTGATTCCATTGATGAAGGTTGTCAAAAAGATTGAACTTTAAACTGAAAACTCAACCTTGACATGATTTTTAATTGATTCCCTTTTCACACTTTTTTACCAATCAACCCACCCTAAATCAATTTATTTGTGTCTATTTCACTCATGTATTGTATTGCAATTGATATTTAATAAAAATAATGACTTATAAGCAAGCTTTACACATAAAATTGATTTACATCGTTTTCTCAGAGCTCATGGTAACAGGCATGTGTTCAATATTTGAGGATTTTTATGAAAATTTTATCAAAGAACGAAATCATTCCATCATTAAATTGCCACAGAACGAAATTTCAATGGACAACTAACTAAGGACAGGCGAAGACTTACAGTATTTAGTTATCCAATAAAATGAAAATTCCAGCTTCAATAATTCTCGAGTCAAGTTGAAATTGAAGTCAATATCAATTGGAACACAATCAAACCTAAATTGAAAAGAATTGAAAAAATGTAAAAAACTCAAAATAACAGTGACATTAAAACAATTATAGCGCAAGTTGATACAATTGATGTTGATTTTTAAACAAAACTACTATTTTTTATCCAGCTTTTTTTTAATGATAATATGATATTTTTTATTTTTAATGCTGGTTTCAATTTCATGTTATTAAAAGTGCAATACATTCAGGGTGCTATTAAAGTTGATAAATTTACCTTATTTATGGAGCAGTTTCGTGAGCCTGTCGTAAATATTATTCACTAAATGATTAAGTCTTAGAAGCTTTACCTGTGCGATTCAACAACAACATAAGTTTTGGGCTTACATGATTGATTGTCTTATCCTTGATTTTACCTTTAATTGTCCAATTTTCCAAGTGTTGACTTTGCAGCAAATTTAAAAGAGATTTACATTGTTTTAGTGTGTACATGTTAATAATACAAAGTGAAATTTCACTTCAATCATCTTCAAATCAACTTAAAATTTTCACTCGACAATATCAAGTAAGTAAACAATCTTCAGTTGCAAATAATGCATAATTTAAGCTTTTAATTTCTCCAATATAGTTAAATGACAATTAGAACTGTCTTTTAACAATGCAAATCAGAACTGGAAGTTTGTTTGAAAAAGGTGCAATCATTAACCTCGACATGTGAATTGAATTACAAGATTGCCTGAGAAGAATAATAAATCAAGTTATCAAATTGATTGAATTTTCGATGAATGAAAACATCAATATTGCAATAATTTAACAAAAAGTTATAAACACAACAATCAAGATTTGTCAATGACAATTGTTAAACCTTAAGTTTGTTCAATCAAATTTGGGTGGATCCGATCTATTCAACTTGAGTCTAGGATCAGATATTTTAATGCATCAGCTTTCTCGCCTAACCTAAACTAGTCTAACGTAAACAAATTCAGTTCACCTGATTTAAGTTGATAATCTTTGATACTTGAGTGTTGATTCAGTTAGCTCTGATTTAAAGGGAGAAGAAATTCATTGACGGATTCTTATATTCGCTCACTCTTTGACTATCTGATATTTTATTGATATATCGCTTGTACGCATAGGCCTTACCGATTGGATTTGTTGTCAATTGAACTTTGATTTAAATGTCGAGTTTTTGGGAACCTGCTGATGATTTTAAGGGTGAATTGAAGTTTGACAATGACTTCGAGCCCAGTGAACAATTCGAGCCAATGGCTGACAGGGTTGAATACTTGAACAAATTGGGTGAGTAACATTCAAAGCTTATTGTTTACATTTTATAATGCAGATTAACTCATTAATGTTTCTGTTTTTTATTCATTTTTTTTTCTTTACTCATGCATTTAGAATCAAAATTAAAGAAAATAAAAGGTACTGGTCGTGAACCTTCCACCAAGGATATCTTAAACTGTTTAAATTCAGCCAAAGAAGATTTTGTATCCAAATTTCATTCACAAGAGTCCAATAACTCTGACAGTCAGATATTGGAAGAACAGGAATCTCTAGGTTTTAATACTGGTAAATTGCTGACTGATTTGGAAAGAGTTGTTTTTCCTAATCGCTCAACAAATAACCCTGAAGAGCTAGAAAAGCTACTCAAATGTGACATCTTAGCAATACTGGCTGAAAGAGCAGCTAAATCAGATAAAACCGATGATGGAAAGCCTCAAGATGAGTGACAACATATTGACGCTTAATAAATGCAAGATCCATGTTCAAATCATCAAAAAATTTTCTCGGTCACCAATTACCCATGTAAATAAAAGCGCAACTCAATAGTTTGTTAATAGAAAAACCTTTTTTCATATTTTCGCAAATTTGTTTTGTGATTTTTTTCTCGCAAAAATGTGAATAAAAAACTAGAAATCATAGCTAGTCAACATTTTCAGTTATCCGACATTTAATTCTTAATAAATTTGAATGTTTACTCAGGGATTGCTGAACTTGAAAAAACTGGTTGGTTGTGATGACTGGTGATTGGCAACTTCACAAGTCCGACAAACAATATTTTATTCATTCAACGAACGTCTCAATTTTCCTTGAATTTTCTCATTCTTGTCTAGTGATCTTTAGTTTTTTGTTTGACAAATTACACCATTTTCAGTTTATCACCATATGACCAATATCATCATGTTTCAATGTTTGTTTGAATATACCATTGGATCTTTGGTAAACACAATTTTCAGTGTTTATTCAATTAGATTGAAAAACGTTTTATTACCGAACTTAAAGAATTTCTTGTTCCCATAACCGATTGTGTCCAACCTCTGAAATCTAAACCCAAAAACCCATCAAATCCGTTTTTTAATGATACGTCACATGGTTATCTAGGATTATGATTTGAATTTGAAGCTTTATTTTTTAAATCACAGGATAGTTCTTGTTGTTAAATCCAAAACCTAACTAAATGATATGAAATTAAATAGCAAATAGTCAACTTTTATTAGCTTTGAATGATTTAACATCTCACTGTGACAGATAACAACAATGCCTGATCTCAAGTTTTACACATTGTTTCATTAACTTTAGTGTGTGAGCTAAATTTTCATAATTTCGTGATTAATTTTGTTTCAAGTTTCGTATTAGTTAGATGTTTCTTGATCTTATTGCTCTAAGAGTGCTTATCAGTTAGATCAAAATTAAGCTTGAAATTATTTTTTCATGAACAGTTTCCTTGAAACAAAGAAAGGATCACTCTTTGTCAGATTATCCAAGTTGAAACTGATAACTAAATTGACTATTTCATGTGTAGCATTCAATAAGCATCTATTGTTTTTATCCTGATAGAATAATCTATGAACTCTATGGAAGAAATAATGAAGAAAGTGGTTCTGGTTAATAAACAATGCTGATAAATTTTTATCTCCAGTAACTGTAATGCACAATTTATAACCAGTATTTATGCATCACCAGTCTAGAAGGAAACATCGTCATCAGCAACTATTCAACTTTTCAGATTAAAGTTATGAATTATTTATTATTGAATGTGTTTGGGACAATTTCATTATTTCAATTAATCAATGGTCGGACCATAACACCTGCAATCAACGATACTATAGTTGAATTTGATTGCTCATCTCCGAATGTAACTTCAAGTGAACTTCGCACAGCAATTTGTGGTAAGTAAATTATTATTTATCTCAATTGCTAGGAATTTAATTCTCGGTTTGATTTTAAAATTGAAGGTAGCCATGTTGGTGCGATCAACATTGACGAGAAGGAAACAAACAAAAAATGTAAGTCATCATCATCAATAAATTGTTTACATTATTGTTAACGATTGTCTTTAAATCTTCCCCTCAGTCATTCCTATTGCTATTGTTGCATTGCTAATCGGGATAATTATCTGTGGTACAATTTATCTAACATTTTATTTAAAGAGGAAAAAGTCTGCCAAGAATGGAAAGGTTGAGAGTCAAGAACAAAGCAAACCCATCGAAGAGCTAAAGATTCATGAAATCAAAAGTGACGCCAATAAAAAAACAGTGACTAATGAGACGAAAGATAATGGCAAAGATCAGCCATTTTATTCACAATCCATTGTACCAGATGATCAGCTAGATGAGGTTTCATTGAGTGATTGATAACCATCGAAAATTTTTTGACCTGGAATCACTACTTGGCTACTCAGACTTGCAGATGTTGAATGTCCATTCAAATTTTAAGCTATTAAAGATGGTCAAATGCTTGTGGTCACTTCATGCCACAAAATGGAGAATCGTTATCAACTTTTCATTGTTATTGATTCCTGACTCTGAAAAAACTGGAAAATCTAAGAATCATATATTTCAATAAAATCTTGATGTTGTATCTTCAGATTTAGTTGGTTATCGATTCACCTTTGACTCTATTCCTATTTTTCAAGTAAGGTTTAAAATGAGTTGATCAGAAGCATTTGAATATGTTTTAAATTTAATTTTAAAGACAGTGTTAGATGAAATTGTAGTATTTTTAATTGAATAGAATTGGTTTAAATTCGTAATTAACCTGTGCACTTGATTTGTATGGGTTGCGATATTTTATTTTAAAGAAATGAATCAATCAGATTTGGGTTCTTTGTACTTATTTACGGAACAGGGAAATCAGACAACTTTGTGTAAAATAAGATTATCGTAAACACTTACAATGAACTGAAAGGATCTTTAACAATTAACGAGCCTTAACGAGATGTAAATTAAACAAAAGTGAAATAAACAAAATATTAGATACACACGAGTTGTTATCAATTTCATAACAACTTAATTACTATTAATAACTATTAAAATGAAAAGTACGTAACGCTTTAATCGCTTCAATGCGAGACATGTTAAGAGAGTTTGATGCAATTTATTATCATTTTGATTAGTTGCTGCCTTTTTCAAATTGTAATCTAGTTTGATGAATGTTGAATCAATTTGTTCTCATGTTGATGTTAATATGACCATCGATTGATAAATGATTCCTAACAGGCAATCGAAACCTTTATTGCCTATTTTGGCTTTATTAATGTTGTTTTGTGCTTCAGCGGGACTATTATTTAACAAAGGTTCGTTCTCAGGCTGTAAGACATCTATGCGTAATGCATTATCGATGGATCAAAAGGCCATTCCAGTGAGAATAGTTCAACCAAAAGCTTCTTTTAGAATGATCAAGAGACCCAGAGCGGCCGTAGCAACACCATCAGGATGTAGTTCAGCCTCTCAAACGAGTTGCCCGTGTTCAGCTCCTTCAACATGTGGATGCAATACACCAGCATCAATGTCAGTGAACATGATTCCAGCGCCATCACCAGTATCAGTTTCTGTTCCAACGCCAATGGCATGGAATAATCAGCCAACGTTAACAATGATAACAAATTCTGGAAGTTGGTCAATGACTTTACCTTCATCCGTGCCTGCACCGGCTCCAGCTCCTGCTCCAGCTCCAGCTCCAGTGCCAGCACATGCACCAGCAGCCGCCCCAGTTCAAATGATAACAATGCCACCGATGAGCTCAGGATGGGGACCAGCAACCGCCCCTGCTCCTGCTCCAGTGGCAACATTGCCAATAATGGCCACTGGTTGGCAATCAATGCCTGCTCAAATCCAAGCACCAGTGCCGATGCCAACTATGGGATGGTCAATGCCTGTTCAGTCACCAGCTCCAACACCGATTTCTGCACCAATAATGATGGGATGGGCACCAATGCCTGCTCCTGCACCAGCCCCTGCACCAGCACCAGCACCGATACCCGCAATCATGATGGGCTGGGCTCCGGCACCAGCGCCAGCACCACCTCCAATGATTGCTCCCTCCATGGGCTGGGGTCCAGCTCCTTCCCCATCTCCAATGATCGCCCCTTCGATGGGTTGGGGTCCTCCTGCACCAACAATGATGATGGTTCCAGTGTCCAATCCTAGTCCATCTGGTTGGGGATCGAAAGGTAATTCCAAATGTGGATCAAATTCCGATTGTGGATCACAACAACAAGTACTTTACATAGTTGTAGAGGAACAGACAATGACACCAATGATGATGAAGGATAGCTGGGATTAATTATCAAAATTTTAAAGTGTAAAATAAATTTACTCCAATGCTTAACTTAGACGATATCGTTAATTTATTGCTGTTAAACTATCTGGTCAACATTTCGAAAATTTTTTTTATAGAATGTCATCTTAAAGATAACAAATGTCACTTCCATAATCTTCCGGTTATCTAATTTTGTCGAATCAAACTAAAACTTGTAGAATTCATCTGAATGAATGAATCACTCATGAATTCTTAAATGTTAATAATACTCCTTACTTATTTTCAGTTCTCTATTTCCTTTTTTATTGTGTTTCCAGTACTCTTTGTGATCAATGTTCAACAAATTGATCAACTTTTAATTATCTCTAAATTTGTAACGTTAATAAACTCCTAACGTTCAATGATTAACGTTAGTAACTCCTTTCCTGTAACTATTGATCAACTATTGATTCCTGAATTTTCTGCATCGATAACAGTGTCTTCCAACAAGGCATTACCGTGTTGCTTATTTAAAAATATGACCATTTAATTGACTTGATTTGATTGAATATTGATGCCTAAAATGAATTTTCTTGAATCGTAAAAAGATATTTTACTTTCAACTTTATTCTGAAACTTTGTTTTCATGTCTTTTTAGATTTTATACACAAGATGGCGGTATAAGCGATTTTTTCTTTCAATTTTCATTTTACAGGATGTTCCCTGGAAGCTGTCTGCCATTTTATTTGTTAGCAACAAGGAGTAAATTGATCTGTTTTATTTATTTCAATTTAAATTGTCTATTTTCTTCAAATTGATAAAATTTATAAGTTGAAATTATCTTCTGACTAATTCAAGCTCCGAAAAATGACACCAATCACGCTAATCATTCTCTGATCATCAAAGATGCCAATAAGTACGATGATACAACTATTTTAGAGTTAGAAAATTGATGAAACTTGATTACGTTTATTTATATTACAAGACATTGTGCTTTCACTTTTGTGATGTCGCCTTGAATCAAAGCAATAACTCATTAGACAGTGATACTCTTCAGCCTCTTATATACTCTCAATATACTCGCTTTCTTCCCTGATTTATTTTGGAATTTCTCTGTTTCAACATGATTTCAACATATCTTTCATCTTTAGCATGATTTATTTTCCATGAGTCAGTTTTCATCGCAATCGCCTTTCTTTTATTGTTATTAGGTGAGTTTTCTTATTGAGAAAAGGGTGGATGGCCCATTTTTTATTTTCTGTAACACTCCTGATTCATTGATTTTCTCATTTATTTATATTCTTCAACATTCTCGTCCAGATTTAATGATTCTATTGTTTTGTTGTTTTCTCTCCTGACTAGTTACCACTCGTTTAAAAAAGTATTCCAAATATAAACAGTTGGCAGTTAGCCGTCCAAAAACCTTTATCTTTTTAAGGTTTTCTTGGCAGCTTTAACGGTAACCAAAAGACTTGATGATAATTCATAAATAGTTGATAACTTCTCTTCTCAAACTAAATACAAACACTTTTGTTGCTGCTGCGTGACAAAACAATTCATTTGGTGATGCACAATGGCTGCTGCTTACAGACCTTACAAAGACGAAGACAGCTTTGATAATTTGAATGCTCTAGATGATGATGGGTTAAATTGGCCGGACAATGAACCTGCGTCTCTTCAAATTTATGAGCGAACCACTGAAGATTTACCATTTCCAAGCAATCGTCGATATTTGATAGCATGTCTTGGGCTAGCTATTATGTCAATGTTTATCGGATTAATGATTGGTTATTTCGCTCATTCTTCTCATGATGAGTGTATACCCAATTACGTTGTTTCTCTTCACTCAGTGCGACAAGAAGATCCTACAATCAGTTCTAAGCTGTTAAATTCAATTGATGTTGCTAATTTAGAGAGTTTGGTTCGTGAATTCAGCAAAGAGCCTAGAGTACCCGGTTCTGCTAGGGATCAATACTTGGTTTCATTTATACAGAAATACTTTTTGGACGCATCATTCGACAAAGTCTCAATTCTCAACTATACTGCTCTTCTCTCGTTACCAGATGAAATAAATCCAAATCTAATTCAAATAATTAATGAAGATACCAAACAAGTTGTTTTCAATTCTAGTGAAGGCTTGAAATTGGACCCTAAACAAATTCATCCTTTCAGTGCCTATTCTCCAAATATTGACCTTCAGGTATTCATACGAACAATTTGTATTACAAACTTATCATAACCAAAACTAGAACTTATTACAAATATATTCTCTTTTTCATTATCAGGGGGATTTGGTTTATGTAAATAATGGACATCCTGATGATTATCGTTTACTCGTTGATAAATACTCAATTGACTTTAAAGGAAAAATTATTTTAGTTAAGCTTGGTGAGTTACCGTTGGATCAAGTTGTCCACACAGCCAAGTTCCATGCCGTCGCAGCTATAATCTTTTTCCCAGATCATAAATTTTTTGAAGTCAATCATTCGGCATTTAAGTTTCCCAGTGATGCAATTAAATGGGAGTCTGCTCTTTGGGCCGAGTTTGGGGATCCTTTGTCTCCAAACTATCCGTCAACAGCGTATGCTTATAGAGAGAATCTAGGCTCACATAAAAATACACTTGCTAAAATTTCTGCTCAACCCATTAGTAGTGACCAAGCAATGAGGCTCATTCATCTTTTAGGTGGTCATAAATCACCTCCAGAATGGAATTCAGGATCGAATTTTTCACACGCAATCGGACCAGGATTTAATAACAGTAATCTCAAAATTAGAATCAAAGTGAATAATCATCTGAAAAACGAAACTATTTCCAATGTATTTGGTTACATTAAAGGTCGCGTGGAACCTGATAGATATATTCTCATCGGTAGTCATCGTGATTCTCTTACAAAAGGAGCAATGGACGCAGCCAGTGGAACTGGTGTCATGCTAGAGGTTGCTCGGGCTTTCGGAGAACTTCTAAAGAAAGGTTGGAGGCCAAGAAGGACAATAATTTTCTGTAGTTGGGGAGCCGAAGAGTTTAATTTGCAAGGCTCTACTGAATGGTTAGAAGATAAATATAAACTTCTCCACGCTCGAGGTATTGTGTATATCAACGCAGACACTGTTGTCTCAGGTAACGATTCACTGAGAGTGTTTGCATCCCCTCTTCTCCACCATGCAATTCTCAATGCCACCAAAATGGTATCCAATCCAGATAAAGATGATTCTCAACATAAAACAGTATTTGAAAAATGGTTCGCAACATTTCCTTATGTTCGTAATGACACTATTGTCAAACAATCTGGATTTATCCAGAAAAATTCTTATGAAATGGATCTCTTTTATGGGGATCAAGATATTTTTGCTGATCTACTTACAAAAGAGGAAACTTTGGCTCATCTCAATCATGTTAACTCTACTTACCTCATTTCATACATTGAAGGTGTCATTTCACATCGACAACCACAAATACTTCCCATCCAAGGGCGTTCAGTGTATGCAGCATTTACCACTTTTTTAGGAATACCATCAATGGATTTAAGTTATGTTTCATCTAATCAAAACTCTGAGGCAAAATCTCTATCAGCATACAGTCTGATTCATACTCAATATGACACTTTCGATCTCTTCAAAACATCGATTGATCCTGATTTCAAATATCATAAAGCAATGGCACAAATTTATGCCGAAGTTTTACGAGATTTCTCAGAATCTTTGTTCATTCCCTTTAATTTATTTCATTACGTCCAATTTTTACAAAACGTCCAACTTAAAATATATTATCAAGCACAGCATCTTTTCCCTAAAGGAGGCTTAGACACCGGTAAGATTGAAATTTTAAAATAATGTTTAAAACGTATTTTTACTAACACATGCTTGTTCTTGCAGATGTACTCAGTTCAGCTATTCATAATTTCACTGATTCTGTTTACAATTTTCATCTACGTCAAGGATCAATTGATTTCTCCGAGTAAGTTGTCTTTATAAACTTTTTTGACTTAAAATTTGGTATATATTTAATGATTAAACCAGATTTTAATTTACACTTTATTATGGTTGAATTTATAATTCTAACTAATTATTAACTCTTCTAAATTTTTACTCTTCTAGTCCAATGGCAATAAGGACAATAAACGATCAACTTATTCTACTAGAAAGAGTCTTTCTCGATCCTGTTCAACTTTACATGGTTAACAATATTCATTTAATCCAAAACCCAGAAGGACTATACTCAGGAGAGAATGAAACTCTGGTTGGACTAATCAACTCACTTTATCAGATCTTCAGCAATCCGCATAATTTAGACGCTGAGGGGAATAATTTACCCACTATTTTAGAGCGCGGGTTGAAGCCTCGGCTTTCTATTCTAGTCCATGCTATTCAGAATGCTGCCGACATCATTAACAGCGTAGTCTGAGAAACAAATTACAATTGCGTACAAATGTGCGTTCTCCTGATATCGTTTTCAAAAAGACTGAATCAACTAAGATGAAACGATTTCTGTTCTGGTGATATTGACTTCAAATATTTTAGAAAACATGAGATTTTAATATAAGATTTTATTATAAGATTTACTTGGGATATCAAATTGTTGATGCTCGAACTAATTAGAATCTCCAAGCGCTTTAATCCAAAGAATTCCATCCGTAATCTCAGATTGTACAAAATGAATTTTGTGAATGTGAAAAGAAATAACCGATTTGTTGATAATTTGCTAATAATTTGACTAAACATTTTCTTAGCGCTTGCAACCAAAAGATAACTTAATCGGTTTTAAATTATTTTCATTTCCCCTCTTCGTTTATAGTATTAACCAGTGTTATGTAATCATTACCTTTTAATGTTTCCTTTCAAAGCTTGATTGTAGGAAGTGTTAATTTATAGAACTTCCATTTAAGATTCTTTTTCATGAATAGAAACAAGCTCAGAAAAATGCCTATGTTTATCATCATCATTATTGTTTGGATTGTTGATGGTTATGCTAATGGAAGCTACTTTAACTGTTGAACTCAAATGTAATACATTCATGTATACATAAATTTGCTTGAAATATTCATGGTTCTTCCACTTTTGGAAATTCTCTGATCTATTGAGTCTTCAAACGATAGTAACCAGAGTTAGTCAGAATCCAGTGTGACAATCTGAATCTTAACTAAAATTTATTATATTGTGGAAACGACTGAATGCTATAAAATGGATTGAACCGAAATGAACGAGCTTCAATTTACCATCGAATGCTGAAATAAATGAACAATTATTTGATTAATTTGAATTTGCGTTTAAAACCTTTGGAATACAAACCTTTCAAGCTCAATAAGTCTAACAACTCGGTTTTTGAGGCAATCCGAGCCGTCAGATCGGATGCTGTCGAAGTCTTGCTCAGTTGCTCTCTTCAGCACTTTAATCTCTTCAACTATAGTCATCAGCTGGTAAAAGTATTCCAAAGCTTCACAATGCGACTGAACACTCGAAATCAAATATCTCTGCAATAAATAAATGTAAACGTACTGCTCCGATCTGGTTGGAAAGATCGAAGATTGGCATTACAGTTGAAGTTAAATATAAAAAACAACAAATTTGATGTTGCTTCAACATTAATTATTACTAACTTGATTGTATTTTTGAACCTCAGTCTGGGCAGATCAGCGTTAAAGATGATGACCAAAAAAAGTAATGCTACAACGTTAAAGTCACTTTTAAAACGAACTGGAAAACTATCCATAAAATAGACGGCTTTTTTAAGCAAATTTGGATTTGCCGTGTACATTAGTTTTCTTGAGCATATTTTACCGCCAAACTGAACGATTGGAAAATTGAAGATAAAAATAAAATTAAATTATTGTTTCTGTTTAGCATTTTGAATGCTTCACAATAAATGAGAATGGGAATTGTATGGTAAATATTTTATATGAGGCGAAATCGCAATAATTTTCAACTTACAAGCCAACCGTCGATTGTAGCATCATAGGTAGTTACATTTTTCATTGCATTGAGATCCAAGAATGCATCTTTTAGCAATATAATTTTATCATGTAAAGTCAATTTCCTAAATGCTCGAGATTTTTGACAAGAACGTACAAGTTCAACGGGAAGTGGATCAGCGTATAAGTTAGCTCTGCTTTCATTCAAATCTCCTTCTCCTTGGGCTCTTTTCAATCTGACAATTTCGTGTAAAGCAGAGACCGCTTCTTGCAAAGCAAATGATTCAAATCCATCCAACGCAGTTTCCTTTGATAAAAATTCTGATTTTATACTCATTGGTGAAAAGTTAACTGCCAATATCTTTTTCCCTACATTAGAATTCCAAATCTTGTTCTTCAGGCAATTCTCTTGATCCCTTGGCTTACATTTATCGGAAATTCTTGTAACTCGGTTTTCTGGTGAGATTAAATATTGCCTTGTTAATGACACTGTTGGCGATGAGCTTTCAATATTTTTTGTTACAGTTGAGTTAGAATCATCAATTGGGCGGTTGCAAGCAACAGTTGGCATCAACATTTCATTTAAAGTCGAAGAGTTCAATGAAGGTGGATCTGGATCCAAATTTGAGTTGTAATAAGAATCGATTGCACGAGTAAATATCTTTATTTGGCCATGCTCGAGCATTCTTTCTTTCTTGAGAGAAAAACTTTCCATTTCATTCGATTTTTGGTTTACAGGTGTTTGAGCGTTATCCAAGCTGAAGACTGTATCAATACTCACTGGGGAAATTGATGGCAATAGTATTGACGTTTCCACGTCGATTAATTTTTGACTTGAAAACAAGACTTCGTTCTGTGTCACAGAGGGAACAAATTGAGATAAATGTTCGTAAAACTCCATTATTGGATTGCAAAAGTGATGATGAGTTCAGGAAAAAAGATTGGTAACCATTTAACAAAAGAAACAACCAAATGAGCTGAAAGCTGCCTTTTTACAAAGAGACCGGTAATTGATCAATTGAAGTGAGAATAGAAAAATGGATGAAATAAATGCTAATAAAATTGAAATAATTACGTATAGCTAAATGTGCTCAACAATTGCTTGGATCACAATTAAGGATAAATAATAACTGAGCACGCTTGAATAAAGTAAGTCACTAGAGCATCAGAGCTGTAATTTTTTGATTTATTTTTGCTAATCTTATCAAATATGCTTTAAGGTGAATTACAGTAGATAATTGTTCTGAACTTTTCACTTACATCTATCAGAGTTTCACATCAAGAGATAAATCTTTCTGATATTCGAAAAGGATAAAAAAGATCAAGAAATCATGAACTTTTCATCAAAATATTGGCAAAAACTAATGCGATATATTGTACAGTCTTCCTCTTTTAATCAGTCTACTTTTACAAATGCAAAAATCTAAATCTTTCCTTACAGATTAAAGCCTCTCTAGAGCTATTAAAGTTTTCAAATTATTATTATATTGTTATTATAGATTCCAAAATGGAAAGATTTTATTTCAAGCGAAAAAGTAAAAATTTTAGTTTTCATTAGCCCTTTACGAATATCATATAATCATAATATCAACGCTGAAAACTTCCATCTATAAATATCTGTATGAATAAAGGCATTGGTTTGAGTAAATCCTCGATGAGTTTTGTTTAGATTTATTCAAGCCAAAATTATGAATAGAAAAATCAGCAAGTAATTGTCAATTTTGTAAATCAATTGACTTGATATAATGCTGGAAATCATTGTTTTTCATAGAACCTGATAAGAGCTGATTATCCAGGTTGATATATAATGTAGAGCAATTCATTGATGATATATCATTGATATGAGATTAGACTCTTTGGGGTTCATCCTCTTACATTAAATCTCTTATAAACTCAAGGTGGTTGTTAACTTATGAAACATATTTGAATCATGATTTCTGACATTTCCATTGTTTTATGAGCTTTTCGATTTAACTTCCATCAGCTTCATAAATCTTTTTACATTTTGGCCATTATTTCATAGCGATTTGAGTAACATCGAGAAGTAGCGCACATATTTCTCACCTGATAGCAACCTTCTTCAATTGATCCTGAAATTGTGATGTTGACCAACAAAACTCTAACAAATGACAAATTGTGTGACTGCTGAAAAATGAATACAAATTGCAAACATATTCTGGTTAGATCAGGTTACCAGCCATGATGGACTACATTTTATATGTAATGTTGAGTACATTCAACTATTCAACTTGTTGACATTTATTTCATTAAATAATTTGGCAAAACATTTTTTAAAACCTTGCAGCCGATTTTGAATAATTTTCAAGTTAAATTTTTATTTTATTGTATTTCAACATGAAATTAAAATAGTTATCAAAAGACTTATTTATGGTCAAAATAATCTTTATCTATAGAAGCAAAAATCGTGTTATGAACCTTGCAATGCAAGATTTTACAATTTCTATTGGACGGAATTTTTAATTCTTGCCTTTTCTTGTTGATCATACTTGACAGTCGTCATTACCACTTTCTGGACTTGTATTTGAATGTCTTCGTAATTGGTTGGAGTATCAGGCCTTCAGAATAGTAACTGTTGGTGGGTTGTAACAATTATCTGAGAAAATTGAAAAGATAAACAAAGGCTTCATGTGCAATTGTCCTCATGAGTTGCCAAAAAATGACTGGAATGGATGCTTCCTTTGCAAATTTCTAGTTTTACTGTTAACTTGAGATGGAATCAAGTTCAAGGTATCAATCTCGTCTATGTCATCTTCTTCGTCTGAGCTGTTCCTTGGTGTTTCAGCCATTTTCCGACGGTATTGAGGTGAATAGATAAAGTCTTTGGTCTGGCTAATCAACATCCTTATGAAAATGATCATGAGTACGAGCAGGATAGGCTCGAAAACAAGAGTGACCCATTTCAGCTGTTTAACCTCCTCGTCTTTGGAGCTATGAGATCCAATCAGTTCAAAAATGAAACCAAAAATGGTTAAAAATAAAAACTTTTTACACTGAGAAACATTTTCTTTAAGGGTAGACCATAAACCATAGCCAGTAGTGGTAGCAATGTAAAGGCCAGTGATCACAAAAAATTGGCTATGATGTCTATATTTGATGTGTCCTTTGGTTTCCTTAATTTTACCCTTGTAGTGAGTGAAAACATTGATTGTCCAAACGGTAAGGCCAATTAAATAGGCACTTAAAGTAGCAATTAAAATGATTTTAACGAGGGCAAAAGATTTGCTTGCTTTAAAGTTGAGAGGAAGCAAGATTGAGCGTTTCTTTCTACCCATAGGACTGGGTTCATCAGCAAAGCTGATAACACTGATTGGGTCGTTGGAAGATATTGTTGCAAACTAAATTGAGCCAAGTTCCACTATTGAAGTAATTGTAGATGAGTAGATAATTAAATCACAAAAATCACAGAAAAAAATGTTAAAAAACAACCAGATGAAACAAGGAAAAGTCTGGTTAAGATGCAAGCAATGAGACACAAGATACCACAACTCTTCTGGTTGCCTTACATCATGGCGCAAACAAGTTTTTGTATCTAAAAACCAGTTTTCGTATTATTGACGATTGGTTTGTTCCCCTTGTCAAATGCAATTGAATAAATGAAACTGTAAACCTTAATCACCAGCAGAAGGAAGCTTAACAAAAACTAAAATGAAAAATCACAATATGATCTATAGAACTGTTTTAAAGGGGAAAGCATTTTAAAGTAAATACAAATAGTTTGCAAATCCTCTAAAATATACTAACCGTTGCAACTGACATGTGAGTCAACTTGATTTCTATTGAGTCATTTCACTATCTACTGTCATTACTGAGGAACAAGCAGCTCAATGAAGTCACTAGACTTCAATACCTAGTATATGTTGAATTAATAGAAAGTTCATCATGGTAGAGGTCAGTTCGTTTCATACAAACATGCAAAGTTACTGCGAATCTAACAGGAGTAATGTTTGCTTTTTGAAGGCATAGTTTAAAACTGAAGCTCTTTGCTCAGTCCAACTCATAATGGTGAATAGTTATTTTAGGGTTATTCCGAGGGTTATTTTAGCCCCATATTTAAGCCTCGATATTTTGAAAATCTAGTTGAAAACCAGATTCGGATTATGCCAAATTTTAAACCTTAAAACTGTTTTTGACCACTTTAGTCCCTCTATTTTCAAGATCACAAGTTTTCTGGGTATGAGAATAATCCTGGGCTGAAAGCAAATCTCAATCCCTTTTTAAGGCCAAACAAACTTACTAAATTCAACATTCGAAGAACTATCTTTGTGTTGTTTACTTCACTTCTTTACCTGTGCTTCAAGTTGTCCAAAATGAACACGTTTAAATATTTGATTGTCTTATCAGTTATTTTAAATATAGCGCAAAAAACATCCAGTCATGTGGTTAGATCAACCAGAGATTCTGATTTTGATGAATACAATGAAGATGCTCGAAAAATTGATGAACCCGAGGCTGATCTTTCAGTGAATGAAAATCCTGATAAAAACATTGACACATTAGAGGATGAAACTTTGGAAAAACCTTACTGGGATGCAACGAGATTATCTAAACAGTACAATCTACATCGAAAATTGTTTTTCAAACCAAAAACTCGTCCACCTGTAATCAAAGTCAAATTAAGCTCTCCCAAACCAATGGTAAAACCAAGTAGTGCCTCAACAGTGAAGCGTAATAAGCCATTATCAACACCAATACCATCAACCACCTCATCGACGACAACTACCACAACTACGACGACCACAACTACAACTACAACTGAATCTCCTAAATTGAGTGAAGGACTTATGATTTTTGAAAATTTCGAAGAACCAGTCGCTACAACTACGGAGTACATCACTGATTCTATGTTATTACCAATTGAACTTACCAGTTAATAAAGAAAACTGATCTCGAAACAAATTTTAAATTAAAGTCAGGTGATTTAACAATATTTGTATCTTTTTTTGAATGCATTTGCTTTATAAAATAGCATTTTCCGCGAAAATGTACATTACAAAATAAAGTCCCAAACAGTCCAGTCAAACTGAAAACTGGAAATTATCGCAGATCACCGAATTATTTTGTTGATCATGGTCCAATTTCTTGATATTGTTTAACTTTTCCTAACTCCACCAGCAACTTTTTTCAATAGGAATTGGTAAGCATAGGAAAAATCTCTCTCTCCATGACCATTGTTGGTCATAGCTTTGTAAATCGATAGAGCCAAAGCTCCCATAGGAGTAGGGGCATCAGTTAAACTAGCACAAGACTGAGAAATACCTAAATCTTTAGCAATTAGTTCAACTTTGAAGCCAGGCTTATAATCTCTAGCAGATGGCACATTTTCCATTATACCAGGAACAGGATTGTAGGTATCAGAGCACCAGGTACGACCAGAACTGATGTTGAGAATTTCGGTCATCATTTTGGGATCTATACCAAGGCCTTGAGCTAAAGCAAGGGTTTCACTAGTTCCAATCATTGATATGGCAAGCATCATATTGTTGCAAATTTTTGCAGCTGAACCGGCACCAGTGTCACCACAGTGGATAACCCTACGTCCCATACAGAGTAATAAGGATTCAACTTTTTTAACCAAATCGGCTTTACCACCACACATAAAGGTTAGAGTACCAGCATTGGCAGCAGGAACGGCACCAGCAACAGGAGTATCTAAGAAATCAACTCCAGCATCATTGCTCAATTGTAGTAGCTTTTTGGATGTATTTGGGTGAACAGTTGAACAGTCCATCAAGATGGTTCCTTTCTTAGCTTTAGTGAGTAATCCATTTGATCCTGAGAAAACTTCGATCACATAAGGATCAGCAGGAACCATTGTGAACACTCGATCACATTTTTCAGCAACTTCAGCTGGGCTAGAAGCAACTACAGCTCCTTTAGCCTTGAATTGCTCAACAGCTGCTGAATTGATGTCGTAAACAACCAGAGAGTTACCCTTGTTGATAAGGTGGTTAGCCATAGGAGTACCCATGAAACCTAGTCCGATCCATCCAACATGAGCTTGACATTTTTGAACTAAAGATTTAAGAATGGAGATTAATTAAAAAAGTCAAATTATAAGGCACATGAAATAAGTGTTGGATGAAAGTTAGACGAGAAACATTGAACAAAGTTGTCTTTGCCTGGTTCATTGTTTGTTTATTTTGGTAATTTCACTTTTACTTACAATGTAATCCTTGGTTCAATGATTTGGAAGTCAATTTAACGATACTCCTTAAAGTGATCATGATGGTTTAATTTGGCGACTGATTTTAAATGAAAAAATAGAAAAATGAAATGAACAAAACAAGGTAACTGCAGAAAGAAACAAAATGATGATTGTTTAATATCTCTAGTCTGGTTTAAAGAGAAGCTCTTTGGTCTGGTAACTATAGAAGAAGAAAGCGTATCACTCAAGGCATCAAGGACGACAATAACGTTTCCTAATCTTCCATCAGATTATAAGCTGTTCATATTTATCTACTTCTTTAGATTTAATTTTGATTATATTTCTATCATTTCTTTCTCTACCTTCATTTGTTAATTTCTACTTGAGATTGATGCAATCTAAACCTTGAACTCTCAAAGTCATTTCTTATTTAATTATCGGAGCGTAGTGAAACGAAGTGAAGATTTTAACTCAGATATGCCTTTTCGAAAATCCACTTTTTGTTTTACTGTGTACAAGATATCTAACGAATGAAACATCATAGAAACTTGATATTTGACACTTAAACAGAAAATGTTGAGACAGTGAAACGATCAACTTTTCAAGGTCATCGGAGGTCATTTTTCGGGATTTCGACCTTTGACCTTTAGAGGTCATTTGAAGGTCGTTTGAAATTTTTCGAGGTATTTCGATGACTATCAGGAAGATTCAACATTATATCAACAATAGTAATCGAAATATGGCCAAAAAAGGGGCAAAAAACTCTGAAACTCATGCAAAAGCAATTTTTTGCAATTATGATATCTCCTAAACGGTTGAGGTCCCGAAATTGATATTGGCAACATGCCTGATTAAGAGCATGTTGCAGATCTGAAAATCGAAAAACGAGCATCAAAGGTCATTTTTCGGGATTTTTCCCTTCGACTTTAAAGGTCATTTGATGTTCATTTGAAAATTATTGTTACATTCGATTCAATTTATAAAAGATACATCATCGTAGATCGTATATCAACATCATAATAGTCATCAAAATATAGCTCTAACTACGACAAAATCGTCTTGGAAATGTTGAATCTTCTTTCGCTTCCCCGTCTTTTTCTCTGTATAACAGTGAGTTGAAGTTTTAACATCAACAAGATGGCAGATCGATATTTTAGGCTCTAGAAAGAAGAGCAAGAAAAAAGTAAGGCAATCGGACGTCACCACTTAATGAGTAAAGTTAGAAAATATTGTGGTCTCTTAGACTGTTCATTAAATGTAATGTCAAGTTAATTTTGTTGCCTATCATTTGTATTGGTCTCATTTCCGCCACTTCTCATAATTTGCGTTTCGCACCTTCAGTCGTAAACTTAAGTCATTCATTCAAACTCACCCAATAGACAGGGAAAGTATTCTCAGTGTAAACCTAAAAATACCTCAGCTATCAATCTTTATAACCAAAATTTTTTACTTGTTTTAAAGTAAACAAATATTGAATAAAACCCCACATGTATATATCTATATAGCGGCAAAGGAATTATACATTCGATGCCCAATTCATAAATTAAATCTATTCATTGACCAAAACTATGCATCGACTTTTTTCGAAGTTAAGTTTCGTTTTTTGTTAAATCTAATAAAAAATACGATAGATTCAATTCGTTACTAACGCTCCGATTTTGGCGAGCGATCGTCTGACCTAGTTAATGTTGAATGTGTTTAATATTTCCTGTGATTTCCTAACAAGAAATAACGTCACTACAATGATACAATGTTTAAGATGATAATGATAATTATAAAACTTATCAATTGTAGACTAATGAATGAATTGAGTTGGTTATAACCTCTTCAAGAATTTAATTATTACTTTCTACCACCTAATCGTTATCTTTGTGTTACTGGTTCGACAATTTTCTAGCATTCATTTTCCCTAAATGACTACCATCAGGTCATTTTAGTTAATAAGATGGAAGGTGAATCAACGGTCGTTTTATAATATCATTGGATCCATATTACGAGCAAGTTGATTACGACAAAAAAGCATTTGTTTATGATAATCGAGGTGACTTTTTAGACTTAAAATTAAAAGTATTTGTGAATGAATAATGAAGATTGTTGATTTGGCTACAGGTAATCAAGTACAATCAATTTTATTGTCATCTGAAATTCGTGAAGCGTTAACTTTCTGAGCGACATTACATCAGTTCGTGCTAAGATTAAGTGTCTCAAGACTGGTTAAAGGTTTTAACAATTGTTTTCATTCAAATACTTAAAGAATTTGGCTAAACAAGACTGTCAATTTGATTGGAAGTAATCAACATTATTTTTTTGAGCTTCTTGGTCTATGTAAAGATCATTATTAATGTCTGCAATTTGATAATTGTGATTGAGCTCAAAGTCGGCTGATGTAGCATTTTGCTCAGCAAATGTATCTTCAAATGAACCAGGTCCATATTGGTTTTGTTGATCTGGAAAAAATATTTCATTAGTCACCATGCTTCTCTCTTCATATTGATGTTCGTTGGATAGACCCATGGTTTCTGGATTTGAACAATTTGACGATGAAGATGTTGATGGCATCGATTCTGGCGTAAAAAAAGAACAGCATAATTGAGATTGCATTGATTCTTGAGTTGATGCTAATGGTAAAGAATGTTGCGACAAGAACATGGAATGATCATGTTGAGAAGTGAAATATAATTGCTCAGGAAGAGATGTTTGATAAGTCAATGGTGATGCGGAGATAGGAATAAACTCATTTTCGACATATTGACCCACATCGTTTTGTCCAGAGGAATTAATAGCACATATAGTTGGTGAACTTGGAAAGGGAAAAATATTAGCAAACGGTGCTTCATCCGTATGCTTGAAATCAGCGCAGTTTTTAATCTGACTGGAATGACCTCCATCATGATTTTCATCTTTTGACAGTGCAGCTAATTTACTGTTAGCGATTTCATCCACTCTATATTTCAACTCTGCAGTCGTCTTGTTACCACAATAAGGAGTAAGTAATTTTACGGTTTCACGTCGAATTTTTTCGCCTTGCTCTTCGCTGCAAAAAATAAAGGTTATTAAACATATTAACAAACTTTTTGAAGCGGAATAAAATACAAACCTTAAAGCTGTGGCCAGGACATGAAAAAGTATTGTTGTCTCATCATGTTCTAATTTACCAGTAGAGTTTATGTAGACATAAGTGTTGTTAATGGCTCGTAGTCTGTGCACCACTTCACCCACACCATCATTGCTTCTTAGTGCTGCAAGAACATAAAAAAATAAGATTAGTTCAAGTATTCTTACGCTTTTGTATGATCTATTTACTTTTAGTGTGTAAATAAAGTGATATTTGTTGATCGTCAGGACATATAAAGCTGTACGCTGATTTCCCAATAACATCTACTGGTTGGAATCCAATGACATTGACGATTCTTTAAAATTCAAAAAATAATGTTAAACGTCTATTTATTACTTCAGAAAATCGTCGCTTTACAATAACGTAATATTTTACTTACCGGTGATCAGCATACAAGATCATTCCATCGAGGTTCATTAAAAGATGATATTGATCGTTTTTAGTAAACCTATAGTTTATTTGCGAGGATAGACTAGAATCTTTTATAACATCTATTGAACCTCGAATCAAAATCGCTGTATTATAGTTTATCAAGTGATCATTTTTCGTCTGTGCTATTTCCAATTTTCTAGTTATTAGTTGTTTATAGTATTGAATTATGCCTTCAAACCGTACCAACTGATATTTTTTGCATTGTTTCCTTAGATTCTTCTTTTCACACATTCTAAAGTTTATGCATAACTCCTGTTTGTCAAGTTCTGTTGGTTTCATAATAGCATCTTTGAAGTGACTGATTTCATTCACAACCTTTTCACAATCTTCTTCGTGAATCAAAGTTGTAAGTTTGCTTCCATAGATATCATATTCTTTATAGCCCAATTCTTCAAGTGCATTTTTACTAGAAAATATGACAGTCAATGTTCCATCACATATAACGTAATTTCTATTCCCTGTTGACTATAAAAATAAGATAATTATTTTCAATCCTGATCCAAAATTAAATTGATGCATAGAAATATTTTGTAAATGATACAAACATACCTGAGATAGTCTGTGATTTAAATCAACAATGAATGGTGTAACATCCAAATCCCTGAAAGCTATAAAAACATATCTTTAAAATGTATAGATGAATGATATATAAATCATTTTTACAGGGACTTACCATGCATAAACTTGATGTAACCAGTGGCTAATTTTAAACTTTCATTTTTAGATAATTTTGAGTCACTTCGACTGATGAATGGCACTAGAGATCCAATTTCATCAATTAACTGCTTTTGAATTGATCGACGTTTTCTCTCATCGTTTATCTTTTTTTGTATAATATTTTGTTTTGATTTTTTAGCTTTGTTGCAATCCATTTAACTGAAAAGGAGTAATGTAAAAAAGGTATAGATTATTCATAAATATTATATTATATTATATTATATTATATTATTATCGTATTTATACTGTCTTATTTATATTTATACTATATTCATATTTATACGAATAAAAGTGTTTATAACTATCTCGGCTCAAAGAAATTCATGATAACATAACTTGAACGAGTTCAATGAATGTGCGTCCAAACTATTATCTAATTATCAAGATTATAACATGATCTTATAACATTATACTTTAACTTTTTTATTTAATTCTAGTTTTATCACTATTGATATTAGCAGTCTCATTGTATTTCATGATATGGATAACGCGACTAGCAACTATAATAACGATAAAGGATTCCCTTTCAATCTGAAAATTTGGATTCATTGGAAAACTTGATGATTTCTTGACAACGACTATATGAGAATTTCGTTGTGGTTCATTTGCTCATAAACTTTTTTATGTGATAATGTAAATGAAGATTTCCTGACTAGGCCCACAAGCAAATAGCGATGTTACATTACTCATGAACTCTTTAAGGTGCTAAAGATTCAATCTCCTGGAATAAATATACCATTCATGCATGTATTTTAATTGATTTATTATCATTTGTGCTGGCAAAATTCGTGATATTATTCAGAATGAACTATTAACTCGAGTATGGTGGAAGTGAACAGAGATTATGATGTCTTTCTCAGTGTTGGATTCAGCCAGTGAATCTAAAAAAGCTATCAACCAAGTGAATTTACTGTTTCTGTGTTAAGCTTCAGGCTCATTTGTACATAAAATCAGTTATCACATTCAAGGTAAACATCCTGGTATCAAATTTAACTGGGCTCTTTCAACACTGAATGCATATTACGAGCAAATTGATTCAAT